ATATTTTAAATGTATCAGAAGAATTAATTTTTGTCATTTTTTTCATGGAATGAACAAATCAGGAAATAATACAGGCATGTTTGTTTTCATGTCTCTTTTGCTACATAGATGGTTTTTATATGTTACCTCCAACAATAAATTAGAAAGTAGATGTCTATACTTATTTTATAGACATCTAGGTTTATTATTAGACGTATAGGTTTATTATTAGCAAACAATGATTTTTAAAATATGTGTATCTGTACTTATTGGACAAAAACATGTCATTCCTGAGTTCCTTAAAATGAACTGGGTTTCCTAGACCATCCAATCATACCTTCTGAGTGAGAGGTTTACGACTACTAACTATCCGTAATGCGGGTCCTTCCAAAGGCAATAAGAATTTAAAACACTTAGAAATAAGAATTTAAATCTCTCCAAGTTTTATTTTAAATAAAATGTTAAAATGAAATTCTTTTTGTTTTATGAAAGAAATACATATTTATTGAAGGCAATTTTAAAATGCATACAAGTATTAAAAAAAAAAGAAAAGAAAAACTATCCCACAAAAATTTATCACCTAGATAGATACAATCACTGTTAAACATCTGATACAGAATTTGGATTCCAGAAATGGCAAAGTTGTTTGAATTAACCTCACATTTCCACAGATAATGACGAAACAAACAAACAAAAAACCCATTTGTATTTACTAAAGAACAGGCAAGAGAAGCAGATACTGGAGGACAGGCAGCCCTTGAAAAGCCAACCCAGGATGGATGAGGTCTGTGGCAGACAGCATTTCCCCTGAGGGCACTCCCTGTCAGTGCGGTGGGGCAGCTGGGACCCAGCTAAAAGCTTCACTGTATCCAGGATGAGGTGTTAGAGTGGCTGGAAATCAAGGAGAGAAACCTAATACAGGAGGGAGCACCTCCAAAACCTTCATAGAAACACCCCTGGCCAACCCTGCAAGTGCATGTCTGCAGGGCAGACCCCAAGAGTCCAGTGCAAGGGAGCTGCTGGAAGACTTCCCTGAGACTCCAGCTGCTGCCCACCACCAGGGAGACAGAGTTTAGGGTCTCAATTGTATCTGCAGGCTGCTGGACTGCTCAGCAGCGTTTGACATGCATAACTACCCTACTTGTTGAAAGATGTCTTTCTCTAGCTCCCAGGACATCACATGCACTTGGTCCTCCTGTCCGCTCCTTCCCATTGGCTCCTCAGTCTCAGTCTCCTTTGCTGGTGCCCCTCTCTCTACCAGACTCATGTTCTATGAGAAGAGTGGCCCAGGTCCTTTTCTTCCCCATCAAACTTTCATCAGGGGATCTCAGCTACTTATGTTTTATGTGTCATTTTCACATTTGTAACTTTCATAATTATGCATCCTGCCTGGACCTCCCCCCCGAACACCAGAAACATACTTCACTGCCCAACAGAATTATCAATCTCCTTCTTTCCCCCAAATCTTCCCTGTGTCAGGAAATGGCATCAGCATCACCATCCACCTAGCTGATTAAATAAAAAAAAAAAAAAAGAGAAAGAAAAGAAAAAAAAAAAAACCCACCTCCCACCTCCTAACTCCTAAGCTTCAGTTGATTCCTCTCTCTTAGACACATGATGTTCAATCTTTAGTGAATCCTATTGATTCTATTGCCAAAAATAAATTCTAACCATTTTCCATCAATCTCGCGGTTACAAAGCTAGGCCAAGCTACTGTCATCTCTCTTGAGGAGTGTGGCAACACCTTCTGTGGTTGACAATCTCATCAGATTCCACCTAACAGAGAAAAGGACAATTTCACAATAGGAAATCAAGGCGCTATAGCTGAAAGAGGTAGAATTGATGATAGGTATTCTAAAGGCAACAAATGACCTCTGAGCTAATTTTTACCTATTTTTTTCTAATTCACAAATGCTATAGGTAATATATAAATTTTTCCTTTGAAACATCCAGTATTCCTATAATACGCAATATTATAAGCTTTTTATTTTGTTTTTGTTTTGCTTTGTTTTGTTGAAACAGAGTCTTACTATGTCACCCTCGGTAGAGTGCCGTTGTGTCACAGCTCACAGCAACCTCAAACTCATGAGCTTAAGTGATTCTCCTGCCTCAGCCTCTCAAGTAGCTGGGGCCAGAGGCACCCGCCACAACACCTGGCTATTTTTTATTGTTGCTGTTGTCATTGTTGTTCAGCTGGCCCAAGCTGGGTTCGAACTGGCCAGCCTGGATGTATGTGGCCAGCACCGTATCCACTGAGCTACTGGTGCTGCTGACTTTTTAGACACAATTGTTCAAAAAGGTAAAAATGGAGTGAGAATCAAAATATAATCTATATATGTTTAAAATCTCTTAAAATAAATTGATGATGGTGGAAAACAGTGCTGAATATTTTCATCATGTTGGAAAGCAGAAGGGCATATATCCAAGGACATATGTCCAGATAAAAAATAACAATAGTAAAAATGATCATAGCAAGTATTAAGGAGTATGAATGTTCCTATTATACAAGAATCATTAATGATTATGTAGAAAAGAACCCAACAGAAAAATAAATTATAGAAGAAAGAGCTAATTATGTTTTAAAGATATCCAAACTTCATCAAAGGTAAATAAATAAAAAGTGAGATAAAAATGAGGCTCCATTCTCTATTGGACTGGCAAAGTTAAAATGATTCAAATACCAGTATTGGCAGGATACAAGAAAATTGGCACTTGCATAGATCATTAGTAGTGACATAAATTGGGAGTAGAGTAGTTTGGCAACATCTGTTTAAATGTAAAGCACACATACATTTTGATAACAACTCCACCATCCTGCATAAATATTGCCACAAAAGCTCAAAGGTATCCATGTTTTCTTCATGTGTAAGGTACATATTTATAGAATTATTATCCATGATTTCTGTAAACTGACATAGAAAAGTGTCTAAAATGTGTTGTAAAGTAGAAAATGCAAAACTATATTTTCCTATTTTTTATAAACATATATTCATACTTTGGTATAAGCACAAAAAGATCTGTAAGAATTTAAAAGAGACTTTTAACCATAGTTTCCCCTTAGAGGTGATATCAGAAAGACAATTTTCCTAGAGCACTAGACTAGAAACACGAGAAACAGTAGCAATGAACATGACTGTCTTTGTACTGAAACAAATGGTGCTATCTGCACACACTGAATCACAGTACAAACTTTTTTAAGATGCAATGCTCTGTAGATTTGCAGTGTTAAATAGTCTTCCCAGCATGAGGAATTGTCAACTGATAGCATGAATACCTCAGTAAAATAATGGTTAAGGATATAAAATTCAGCCCCTTGTCAGAATGGCAGGAGAGAAAGTCTGCTTTGCCCTTTTGCCTTTTGGACTATCCTTCTCATTTTCACCCCAATTACCCTCAATGATCCAGAATGCCCTAGTCAGCTTGTTCCTTCCTGCCCTGAATATAAAGTGGGAGCAGAACAAACAGCCTTCTTGTCTACCACCTCTCTTAAAAGACATACCTAGAAACACATCTAAGTCTTAGGAAAAGAGAAGGCAGAAGCTACATAGAATCACCGAACAGTGGCCTTTAAGTGTCCTACATCCACAAAAGCAAACGCACAGCCATGGAAAAGGCAAACTGGGAGAGTGCAAATTCCAGGAAGATCTCTGGAAACTCAGTGGATACAAATACACCCTGCCAGAGGATTCATCCACGGGCATTCTAGAAACGTCCGTGGACTTTAGATGCAGTACACAAGTGTCATTTCCCTCAACGCTATTCAGATACAACCTGTATCACACATACACACACACGCAGCAGAACGTGTGTGCTTGACCACCTCCCTACATTGACCACCTCAAGTTCACCTAATTGTCATAGAGTGCACATGCACCACATGTATTAAGGCCTAGTTCCTTATATTGACCACCTCCATGTGTTGACCAGTTAGTTACAGTCCCTTGGGTGGTCAACTTACGGAGAGATTCTACTGTATATATAGAAATATACATGTGTATGTGCCTGTGCATGTGTATACACATACACCCACAGAGGGATGCCAAGAAATGTATACACGTTTTAAGAAAGGACAAAACTGTATTAAAATTGTAATATTCAATCAATAACAAAAGTTGAATCAAGTCATATTTGAGCGCCTCTTGTAATTGCAGAAGTCAAACATGACTTGAATATTATAATTTTAATACAATTTTTTAATACAAAACTGTATTAAATGTGTATATATTTCTTGGCCCCCTGTATATGTGTGTATATACCTTAAAAAGTAGCAATTATCAAGCAGCAAAACTTATCTGCTTGGTTTTCAAAAGCCATAGAGATCACGGCAGCACGAAAAACTGTCTGAGCAAGAAAAGGAAAATACAGCAAATTCAAAGTGAAATTACTTTATTTGAACTTTGCTTCTACTTCCACATTTCAAATCAGATAAAGCGACTCACTTTTAGGTTTTGTTATCGTGTGTTTTGTCTTGATAAAAATAATAGAACAACTGCATAAAATACTCTGTAGTAATTAATGTATAGTTAAAAAGCTCTCGTGAGATAGGCATTATTATTTCATTTTTCCAAATGAGGTAGAGCAAGGTAAACTGAGGCACCCAGATTTATTGTTCATACCATCCATGCACGGGAATTTTCTTGAAACATTTCTCTTTGAACTGATGACACGTAAGAAAATCCCTTCGGAAGCGTTCTTGAATTCTAGGCCATAAAGCATCAACTCACAGTAACAAGGCACAAAATTGTGTCTGGGCAGAACCCCTACGTGATGCATAATGCATCCGGCAGACCTAAGACTTATTGCAACTTATGCTGGAGCAGCAAATCGAATTCCGACCCAAGCTTTAATATGGATGCATATGTATGGAGAGCGACAGAAGAAGCCTTTGTTATCACACACGGCCCCAAAGGAAGGCAGTGCCCCGCAGCAAGTTCTGGAATCATGGAGGGGACGCCTTCGCCATCTGGGTCGCGCTGCCGGCGGCCCCAGGGCGCATGCGTGGCCGCGGCCGGGGCGCTTACCTGGTGCGCCGGACGAGCAGGCACAGCAGGGACAGGAGCAGCAGGCCCGAGGCGAGGGCCAGGCCGGGCAGGCTGAGCGGCTCCATCCAGACGCTGCCCATGTCGGCGGACACGTCTCCGCTCTCCGGTGCGCGCGAGGCCGCGGAGGCAGCTCGGGGTCTCCCTGCGAGCGGCGCGGTGGGTGACTCCGCAGCGTCCGCTCCCCCGGGGCCGGCGAGGCGAGCCTGCCAGCGGCGCAGACAGGAATGTCACTGAGGGTCCCGAGGCTGTGTGACAAAGTTTGTGGACTCCCCTGTGCCCGCCTCCCTCTCCCCACGGGCACCGCCCCGCTTCCCCGCGGCCTCTGGCCCGGCCCGGCAGCTTCTGGGAAACGGAGCCGCTGCTCCTCCGGGGCAGGAAGAGGGCGGAGGGGGAAGGGGAAGGGGTTCGCCTTGCCCGAGAACCAGCCCCCCACCCCAGGCCCGGGGAGGGGGCTTTCACTTCTGAGTTGGACCGGAGCCCCTTAATCCCTCAGCCCTTAGGCATGCTCCGCGGGAGGAGGGACGCTGCTTGTCCCCTGAGAGTGTTGGGACCCTTCCCGCTGCGCTGGGGCACCGGCGACTGTCTCTTGCACGACCCGGGGAACTGGGCGGGAGGCAGAAACATGCGGGATGGGCTGTCTCCGACCGGTTCCCCACCCTTCCCCTTACGTCTTAGTTGTTCACAGGTTTTTGTTGAGGGCCTACTGTGTGCAAAGGCCCAAGATACAGAAGTCCTGATGGGGCTCACGGCTCAGGACGACACTCAGACTTCCAGGGCACCTTCGATCTTTGACACTCCAGTCTGTCATTCCCATTGCCACCTCTCTATACAGACCTATCTTGCTTTAACCATGTTCAAAACTCTTAATGGTTGTTTTCATGATTAAATCAGAAATCTTCCACCGGCTGGGAGATGTTCCCACAATTGGTCTCCACTGTACAACTCCCTTGTCTAGTACCGTTCCATATATTCTAAAGTTTGACTCCGCCTGGAAAATTGTCCTGTTTTCTCTGTGTTATAACTCAATATACCTCTCAAGGCCCTGCTCAAATCTCACTTCCTTCTAGAAATTATCTCAAACTCTACTATAGTAATTAACCTTTCCTGCCTCTTACTTCTGAGATAGAATAGAAACCCTGGCCTTAACCCCCTGACCACGGAAGGCAACATGGGGCAGCATAACCTTGCCAGTAATGTTTTTCTGAGCAGCTGCAAGAAACACAGGCTGACAGGACACTTGTGGGCAAAGGAACAAGACCTGTCTGGATCCAACCACCTCAAGCCAGAGTAGATGCCCACACTGACTTTTCTCCAATCATAATCTCATTTTAGTGCTAAAAGTCACACCCAGAGGTGGAGATTTACCCGGCTCATGGCACAGCAAAACATGAAGAAACATGTAATAAAACTTCGCAGGTGCAAGACAATCTCCACTTGAGTGCCTACACCCTTGCCAGCCTAGGCCTCTTTCACACTTTCCCTGAACTCCTCTCAGGAACCCAGCCTGAGGCCTTTTTCCTTGGTGCTTTCTCCTTTATCCTCCAGCATAAGCCCTAGTAAAGCCTCCCCTGTGGCTCCTCTTTGGCCTCTTGTCAACTCAGGGAGCCTAAGTAGGAGTACTGTGTTACCACCTATCCTAATTTCCCACTCTTTGAGTTATTTCTGGTTTTCCTACTGTAAAAGGCAGGAACCATCATCTCTAAGACAACCTTGTCTACACCCACTTCCCTGATCCCCCACCCTGATGTTGAAATGATGAAATTGGAAGCTGCACCACTGAATTACTGCTGTGTTACTGTTCATGAGAATCTTTGTCCTCAAGTTCTATTCCTGGGTCTTTCTCTTGCCTCACCTTCCTCCTGTTGTACACTCCATTTTTCTAGGAAGCCCAGAAGGGAGTAGGGTACCAACAGCCACTCTGTCTTCTCTAAGAGAAAGAAAATGGCGTGGTTTCCATCACTGCCAAGCCAGAAGAGCCAGTTTACAGGACGGTATCTACCCCAGGGTATTTCTGTAACTCTTGCATAAAGCTACTTGCTGGTTTACACAAGAACTCTCAACCTTTGTACTTTAGTTTTCTATTCAGTCTTTCCTAGATGACTCTTTCATTTAAAGATATAGTTAAAAATACTAAGCATTTACTCTACTTATTGAACATTTATTATTTGCCAGTTATTACACAGACCATATTTTTTCTTTATTGATAGCAGAGTTAATGCACACTGCCTTAGGGAAGTGGCAGGAGGAGGCCTACAGGCATCTACTAGATTGGGTGAGCCAGTGTCACATCTCTGTGGTATCTGCCACAGGTAGTGACCTACCTGACTCAGGTCACGTCTTTATATACATACAATGAATTTTAAATGTGCTTCTCTTGGGCGTTCCACTTTTGTTAAAAGGGATTTCCATTCTATAAACTAACCTGGTTAAAAAAATCTAAGGGTATCTTTTATTCCTCTTTTACTTTTGTGACTCATCATCGGCATCTTTATAGTCAATCCAGTTCCATTCCATTTTATCTCCAAACTATGCCTTCATCACCTCTCTGATAGAGATGGCTAGTGGATCTTCTGTGTCCACTCACCCTTTCCTCCTTACTGACAGTCTCAGATTTTGGACTGCATGAAGACTATGTTCCCAGATTGCTTTCTAGTTAGATGTGGCCGTGTCACTAAGTTCTCATCAGTGGGCTGAGTGTAAGGTGTGACTGCAGGAAAGTGTGCTGAGCGGGAATGGACAGGTTTTGCCTCATCTCCTTTTTCTCTGGCTAGAATGTGGACACAATGCCTGCTGCTCAAGCACCATTTTAGCACTTCTAACTACATCCTAAATATCACATCCAGTATTATTTGCTGTCTACCAAATTTAACTGGAAATCTTATATTTTTATTTGTTGTATCTGTCAAACATGGCTTAACTACAACACAAAGATTTATGATACAGATTTTGTACACAGGATAGATTATGGAAACTGCAGAGTTCCAGCTGCTCATAGTCTGCTCCAGAAATCAGCCACAGTTTTTCAACATTGGTTGCCAACAGTAGTGTTGCATGTACTTTGGCCACACCGACTAGCTCAGGGTCAAGAGTCAAAACTTGAAGAGTCATCCTGGGCTGGCCCTGTAGTCCTTGAGGCATCCAGATATGGAAGCATCTTCAGTATTAGATGATGATTGGCCTAATCATATCATCTCTCTTCAAAAAATATTGATTGTGAAATACATTGAGAAAGAGAAATAGGAGTAAAAGCACAGGATGTAAAGGGAGAGGGTGACAGCTCACTCCAGCAGCTCACCCCCGCAGGTGACTATCATCTACCAGGTTTCTCTAATTTTCATTCTAATCAAGTATTAGGGCTTGAAGCTGCTTACTTTCCCTCCAGGTCTTCTCTTTTGATTCTCCAAAGCCTATTGGAAGTCAACAAAAAATCTTATTATTTCCCCTAGCATTTTAACAGATACATCTTAATTCTCCTGCCCAGACTTTGAAAATACTAATATACTAGACTGAAACCCTCAAATCCACCTGTTTAGTCAACAACTTTTGTTAAGTGCAACTAAGGCCATGGCACTGTATCTGGCCCTATTGGAACTATAAAAATGAATGTAACTCACTTCCTTCAAAAAGCTGAAATGAAGAGGACTAAAAACATTATAATTGGATGAAAGGGGGGAAAAAAAGGTTAGTGAACAGGAGATTGTGGTGTGAGGATAAGGGCATTTATGAACATACACCCATATGGCTTTGATCTTATGAGTCCCTCCCCGGGCAGCAAAAGATGTGCTGGGGAAACATTTGTGTCAATTGTGGGGTCTGTCAGTTTGGGAGAAACATTTGAAAGCATCACCATGAAAAACGCCAAAGTGGAATTTCATACATTGTTTTTCCAGTGTCAGGAAGTCCCCCAAATCAGAGTTTAGTGCCCAACACTGAAGGTCCTGTCAACTTCTGACATTAAATAAAATATAGGTTCTGAATATTATCAAAGACTAACCTTTTATAACTAAAAAGAATGACTGATGTTACCTCTCTCCCCGTCCCATGAGTTTTATTGTAACAAACTTTGATTTCCTCTTACCTTCGGTTAGAATTAAGACCATCCCTGGGCAAAATTATGGAGTAGAGAAGGGAAAAAAGAGAAGGAAGAAGAAAAGGAATCTGGGCTACATATTTTATATGCATTGTTTCATTTCATCTTCAAAACCAGTCTCTGATGTGGATATTATTATTAGTCCCTTTTACACAAGGGAAAACCAAGACTCAAAGAGTTCCAGGACCCCTGTGGTTATTCAGCTCCTTGTCCAACTGTGAAGTTGTCTTTTCACCCACCCTCCTTTGCCTTTTCTTTCTCTCACACTTTACTACACCGTTCAGTATTCTGCCCTCCATTATATGGATGGAGTTGTTGAGTGGTCCATACGGAGGTATCCTGCGTGGACGGTTGAACCTCTGCTTTGCAGTGGCCCTCCTTGGCTCTTATCTAGCTCTGAGGCGAGTCTCAGTTTTTCCATCTGAAAAATGAGACATGACTCCCTTCTCTATAGGCTTATGAGGATTGAATTGTGAGGGGTAAACATGTAACAGTGGAAATGCCTGGGGCTTCTCCCTTTTGACACCGGAGCACCTTCTGCTATAAGTGTAGAACTAGAAACGGGTTGATCAAACCAATTCAGCCCTGCCGAGCTGTTAGCTTATTGATATATTACTTCTTTCTGATTAAAATGTAAACTGTGCTGCTTTTTTCTCCTCTTAAGGCTACTATGCAAATCCTGATTGCAGCTGAGACAGCAATAATCACATATACGGAGACTGCTAATATAAGCCTGAAAGTTATTGTTTAATTTGGCACATAGTAAGTAGTGAGGCATCAGAGATGCAGGCACCAAATCTGACTGAAATTTCTTAAACCACAAATGCTTCCTCTGATTCCGTTCTTTACAGTTTACACAATGGCACTTGTTTTCTCTTTCTTGAGTTTTCCTTTCTCCTGTAGAGGCAGTTTATAGTGTTGACCAAGCGCTCAGTCTGCTGCAGGACACATATAGATATAAGATTTTATTAAACAAAATGCTGTTGAATGAACAAAGTGACACCCAACAATAGAGAGTGCATCTCCATTTAAATCTTTTTTTTAATAAAGTATAATTTTAGGTAAGACCTGAATCTAATTATTTTGAAGCAGCTTCAAAAATGGTGGAACAGATGGCTCTGATTATCTCCAAGAGGAAGGGAAAGATTGGAGAGTTTTGTCATTTCTTGTTTAACAGTCTTGGCATTGGTTACACGCATTTGA